TGTGGAGGTGGGCTTTTAGGCATATATTTACAATAGAAACCCTACTTAAGACACCCCTCTTCTATTATGCCTCCATAATTATCAGAAATGACAGTGCCATGGGGTGGTTTTCAAGGACAAAGTTGGGTGTGGAGTGGAGACAGCCTGAGTCTATGTGACAAACTATGTTTGCTGTAAATGGCAGAGCCTATGAGACAAAGTGTGTTCGCTGTACATAGCCGAGCTGTTGAGTGAGCCTGCATAAACTTTTTGGTTAGACAACTAGAGACTCCCAGATGCTGAGCATGAACTGCATGATTTGCATTTACACTGCTAGATTTTTCATTTTTTTTTTTGCTATTCTTCAATTCTTTCATTTTGGAATAAGACATATATTGTTTTTTTTTTTTGTTATATTTCAAGACAGAGTTAAGAGACTTCTGACATTTGAAGAGTCATTGCATATTTAATTGCTTAAAAATTTCAAGAGTATGGGACTTTGAAATTTGAATTATCTGCTGATATTAAAATGAGAGCTCAGGGAAAAGGAATAGAAAAAATATGGCTTTAAGTGAAATGCTTGTGTGGGAAGTTGACAAATGGTGGAATGTCCTAGTTATCATATTGGCATATTGACACAGAATAGGATCCTCTGAGAAGCCCCAATTGAGTACTTTAATGTTTATCTTATGGAGATAAATCTGAGGGATTGTCTTAATTGTTAATTAACTTAGGATGACTCAGCCTACTTAGGGCGTTGCCATTCCCTTGGCTAGTGGTCTGGAGCTCTATAAGAAAGTTATCTAGCACTTGGGAGGCAAAGCTGGTGAATCTCTGTGAGTTAGAGGCCAGCCTGGTCTACAGAGTGAGATCCAACAGAGGCACCAAAACTACACAGAGAAACCTTTCTCAAAAAAAAAAAAAAGGAAGAAAGTTATCTAAACAGTCACCTCTGCAATGCCAAGTGGGGAACCCGGCAAGCAGTGTACCTCCATAGTTTTTTAGTTTCTGCATGAATTCTCTCAGTGATAAACTCTGAAAAGTTTCCTTTAATATATATTTTTGGCCTTTCCTATCACATTTGTTTTCTGTCTTTTATCATGTGAGCTTTCCTTCCTTTCACATAGCCCCACCTCCATTACATTCTACATAGATTCAAAGAGACATTAAATCATGTATCACATGCTCAAACCATGAGCCGCAATAATCTGTCTTCTCTTCCTGTCACATACTAATTGAAACAGAGTGACTTTAGTACTGAATTTCAGAAAAAGAGAACAAAACACCCTAAAATTATATTGTTCCAGATGCTGACTATGAGATATAGATGTATCAGATTAAAATAAAATAATTAACAAAGGCCTCTTTACCACTAATAAAAAGAAAGTGTTGCATGTTTATTGGAACATTATTTACAGGTTCAGTATGTGGGAGAGTTAGGCATCCAACAACAGATAAATGGATTATGAAATTGTGACAGTCACATACAGCATATCATTCCTCAACTGTCAAAAGGGAGGAGTTCTTATCCTTGGCTACAATATGGGTGGAGTTATGCCCAACAGTTAGGAACTAATCTTTGTACAATCTCTCAAAATAGAACAATTAGCAGGACAACAAACATTTAAAGCACAAGCCTATGAAGATTTTGATACTCAGAACTTAACATTCTGCCCAAAGTGTCATGCACATTTCATAATGTAAAACTTATATAGTTCACCTTTAAGCTTCACAGAATACATTTCCAACACTGTTTCAAGGCTCAGGTTCAATAGGAGGGCAGGATAGAAGACAGAATTTGGAGTAGGTTAAGTATAACACTATAAAGGCCTTATGAAAAGCTATATGGAAACCCACTACTTCCTCAAATAAATACATATATTAATGGAGTTCTAATTTAAATGGAGTCACCATATAACTCAACTCAAAATAAGATTAACATAAGGAGAAAACTATTGAATAACCTCATTTACATATGGAATGTATATTAAAGTGTCAATATGTACAGGCAGACTACATGATATAATAGTAGTTACTAAACCTTTGTGGTCATAGCAAATGGATAAATGTGTAAAAAATATGAAGAAACTAATATATAAGATGAAATAAAAATAATTTATAACACAAGATCACTATGTGGTAAATTTGCATTGCATTCAGGAGTTTTTCCTATGACAGTTTTTGCTATATGGAGGAAAAGGAAACTTAAATTTTAAATGTATATACATATATATGTGTGTGTTTGTGTGTGCAAATATATCTATATGTTAGTGCATTCAAATTTAACAACCATTTTATCACATATCACACAACATGATGATATACTCTTAGTTTGCACTCTCAATTTTACATTAAATTGTAAATATGGAATGTACTGACCTCCACAGCAGAGTTATGACTGGAGGAACAGAAGGAACTCACAGAGGCAAGGAAGTATTTTGTGTCTTGATTGGGTTTTGAGTCAAGTAATTATATTTATCCAAGCAAATTTACTGAATTATGCATTTGTTTAATCTGTGCATATCAGCTTTTCTTAATTATACTTTAAATTATCAAATGCAGTAGCATTTAAGAATGAAATATTATTTCATAGAAAAATGTTACCTCACTCCATGTAATATTTTCTAGGTTTAGCCTTTTATCTACATAAAAGGCTGAATAGTATTCCATTGTGTATATGTAGCACATTTTCATTATCTGTTCATCCAGTTGAAGTCATTTGGGTTGTTTCCATTTCCTGGCTTCTGTGAAGAAGGCGTCAATGAACACTGGTGAACAAGTATCTTTGGACTAGATGTTCAGTTCTTCAGTCATATACCAATGAGTAGTATAGCAGGGCATATGGTGGATACATTTTTAGTCTTTGAAAATTCTCCATCCTGTTTTCCAGAGTGGCTACACCAGTTCACATTTCTACAAGAATGAATGAGGGAGAGTTCTGCTTTCTCCACAACCTAGATAACATTTTTTGTTCATTTTGTTTTGTTGTTGTTGATGTTGATTTGAAATGTGCTGCCTGGGGCAACATGAAATATCAAAGTTGTTTTAGTTTGCATTCTTCTCATTTTTAGGTTGATAAAGACATTTCAAGATTTTATTAGCAATTTTTATTTTTCTCTTGAGAACTCTCTGTTTAGGTGTTAGTCCATTTTTCAATTGTTAATTTGGTTTTGGGACTCTTCATTTTTGAAATTCTTTATATTCTGAATATAAATCCTTCATCTGGTGTGTAACTGGCAAAGATTCTCTCCCATCCTGTGAGTTTTTTCTTTACCTGGCTAATTGCTTCCTTAGTTGTGCAGAAGTTTTTTAGTTTTATGAAGATTCACTTATCAATTGTTGGCCTTAATTGTTTTGCAAATGGAGTCCTGTTCACAAAGACAAATGCCACATAGTCTCTCTGATCTGTAGTTCCTAACTCCACACTCTCAGATGTGCATATACAATATAGAAAAACCACAATCCAGAAAAGTATAAAGAGACCATATGTTGGGGGGATTGGAAAGCAATAGCAGGATAGATACAATGTAAAGTGGATATTGGAATAATGGGAAGGGTATCTCATTGGTGTGGAGGGTAGAAGGTCAATAAAGAAGAAAGAAGAGGGACAGGGACAAAAAACAAGAAGGTTGTTTGTTGAGGCCTTAAGGAATTGTATTGTTTTATATTTCCTTGAAATTATACATACACAAATATATATTTATATGTGTTTATATATATATTCATGTACACATATACATGTATGAACACATGCATGTATGCAAGCATTATATATATATATATATGTATATATATATATATATATATATATATATATATATATATATATCACATCTTTAAGGAAGTCACTTGGGTTGACAATAAACCCACAGAAACAGTTCCAGGCATGAGACACCTTTTTTTGAATGGTTGGTCAGGGTTGTCCCTGTGACTTCCAAAACATTACAGATTATAGATCAACCATTGTTCATTTCTTAGTGTTTTAGGGTAGGCCACTATTGCTGAAGACACTTCACATTTAGGACAAAGGACTCAGATGATTTGAGCTTGAGCTGACCTCTTTCCTGCATTATGGCTTCCTGGGTCCATAAAATACTATACCAACTGCCAAGGGAATGAAACAAACAATTCTACCAAGCTTCAATAATCATGATTCATTTTTAAAAGAAAAATGTAAACAATCATAACTCAAGTAATGGATGCTATGAACTTTGGGGAATAATGTAAATATGACAGAGGTTCAATTCAAGAGTAAATAAGTTCAATGACACTGAAAATGTTTTCATGAGGGGTTAGACAGTCACAGAGAGACAGTCAGGGCAAAGACAAGAGAAGAAGAGGGAAGACACAACCATGGAATGCTAACCAAGGCATTGGGAAAGGGGGAAACTGGAGATAGTCTCTCTCCACCTTCAAGTGTGTTTGGATGTTGATGTATAAAACCTGACCTTATTCTTTCAATGCTGAAGATGGCATATATTTGAAGTTCTAGACTCAATGGGTGAATGGAGATTTAGAATAGGCAGTCTTAAAGATGCATATTTTTTACTAAGGAATTTATATAAGGAACAGTTTAAAATTATACATATATTTTAAAATAGGATATTGAAGGAAACTGGAATTATCGGAAGTTCAATTATTTCTCAAACATTTAGAAAATACCCTGTAAAAAATAGGGATATTACTATTAAATACAGTACTCATTTAATCTTTATCATGTTCAGTGACCAAAGAAATCCTGATTTTCTCTGCATTGCTTTGGGCCTTTTTTGTAGGGAGTGGTTTGTCTATAGTGGGACCTGTCCAGGCCTTAAGTGATTTGATTAAAAGGTTTACATTACATAGGTCCACATAAGGCAGCTTTATGGTGCTGCAGTCAATTTCCATTAACAAGCCCCAGTTTACCCAATTTCTACAAAATGATTGTTTTCTCAAACCAGTTGAACAAGGTTGTGGAAATGGCCCACACAGATAAGGGCCAGGTTGTTTCTCAAAGCAACTGTGTCTGATCAAGGACTCACTCAACTACCATACATGGCTGTTTCCTGCTGTCCAGGATTTCCTGAAGAAGCCCTCTCTCCATCTTCTTCCTCAGGAGTGTCCTGCTTTGCTCTCTGCAGAAGCATCTTCAGAGTCTGCCTCTGAAACCTGCAATGCCTAATGGAGTCAACAAAAAAGTAAATGATGGGATTGGTACAGCTGTTAACACAGGACAGGAAAGATGTAATTTCATAACTATTGCAAAAGGATACACTAGACCACTTCCCACTCCAAAGGAAAATTATCCAGTACATACCAAAGGGCAGACCAAAGAGTAAGAAGACCAGCACTGTGAGTGCAATGGTCACATACAACCTGGTCACAGGAATCCTCTGTGAGCCACAGAAGATCCTGACCAACAGGGCCAGGTTGAAAACACAAGGAAACACAGATAGTGCTGGTATAAATACAAAAGCAACAGTCAAACAGAAAGAATAATGGTAATCACTATATAGTAAATTGCAACCAAACCACAACAGGAGGCTTAACAGTAGAGTGAAGCCCCAGAGCAGGGCACACACAACAGATGACATGTATCTTGGTCATTTGCAGTGATACCAAATGGGCCACAAAACAGAGAGGAATCGCTCAACACTGATGGCTGTAATCATACATAAACCTGCAAGGTAAGCAAAAATTAATATACGGGTGAAATATGGAATATGGAAGTAGCTGACATCAAACAGTGAAAGGATTTGTCTCAGGGAAAACACAGTCTGAAAACAAAGGTAGAGGAAGTCAGCCCCAGCCAGGTTGAGGACATAGACAGAGAAGGCCTTCCTGTGCACATGGCAGCCCAGAAGCCACAGCACTATGGCATTTCCTGCAACTCCAACCATGCAAATGATGGCAGTGAGAATGCTCAAGATTTTATACATGGTGACACAGAGTGAGCTTGTAATGTAGTAACTTCTATTCATTGTTGTGTTGTCAGTATTCCAGGCTGGGATGGATGGACCCATGCTGAAGAAATTTCCACTGGTGTTCCTGCAAAGTAAATTGAGATATGAACACATGAAACTTTCTGTCAATAACACCTGGCTATGTGGGAATGTCTGGCACAGGTTCATAAGGAGGAGGAGACAGACTTGCAGAGATTATGTAATTTATCAAACCTGCACAGTGATAGAAACTTCTTTAAATCCAGTTTGTACTATTCAGCCTATCTGCAGACCAATGTCTCTAGTGATGTTGGGGTACTCAATGGTTCTAGTACAGTTGCTAAGCATCTTATGCTGTGTCAGGAAGAGACAGAATTCTGAAACTGTCTTTCTGATCCAGGGCTGTGGTTCCTTCTCAGGATTAGGAATATGGTAGATCCTGGTACAAGCCATAGCTGCCCTCAGTCACTGTGAGGGGTCTACCAAATGAGGAAAATAGAATCATGAATGAGAGTCATGAAGGGAATGGGATTTCTTATGAAGACCTGTGTTCAAACAGTCACATAGAAGGACTGAGTCTTTTTTTAAAATTTGAAAAGTAGAAGGACAAAGCCTTGAATGACATCAATCACGTCTATGTTTGTGATTATGTCACCAGAGTCCTGTTCTCTACAGGGCTACAGGGGAGAGTTAAGAACTATAATAAATGAGCCAAGGAACCTTTAGTTCAAGGATAGTTCAAAATTTGGAGTTAATGTTCTGGTTGTGACTTGTACCTACATGTAAAGAAACAGGTCTGAGACATGAAAAGTGTGGCCTGTGATGCAGAGGAAGCCAGAGAGCACCTCCATTTGGGAATAGTGTCCCAACCCCTGAGAAGAGCTTTGAGATCTATACATGGATGCAAACAGTCTGGAAAAGAGAGCAGTAAAGCTGGGCAGGTAGCATCATTTAGAGCTTTCTTTCCACTCCACTTCCCCATACAGACATTCTCAGTTGGCTTCTATCTCTAACTCCTGAAGCCAAGAGACATTTGAAGAAAAGAAAGCTTTTCTTTCACACACTGACCAAGGGTGCAGAATACAGGGCTGTTCTTGTGCTATCAGTAGCTTAGCATGAACAGTACCCATATAGAAAACTTTGCATCACAGGATCCTTCTGGATAACTTGTTATTGTAGACAGAGACTTTCATGTAGAAGAAATCATCTGAGAATGCCAAGACAGAGCTCCAGAGCCAGGGAAACCATCTAGAAGACCTTACAAACTAACCTCACACAAGGGATTTGAAGAAAATCATCCAATAAACTCAGTTGTACTCATGAAGGTCATACCATTCATTCTTGGAGCATTGATCTCCCCATAGAAGCACAAGGTTTTAATCCAGGAAATCATCAGGGGCATCAAGAGCTTAAAATAGTCAGACTGTTAGGAGGTAAGCAGCTGACTTAAACATATTAAGCTTGCTGCTGAGGGTAGCATGGCAGTGGTTGGTACAATTGTTCACCAGTGTGCATTTCAGCTTCATGAAATGGAAACAGGAAGCCAAAATAGGATCCACTTATCTTCAGCTCCCATTGTGACTGGCTTTGCTAGTCAGTATTTTTCTAGTCAGTGGAAGACAGTGATACTAAAGGTGACTTGAATTGTGGAGGC